AAGTCCTGTTTCTCCTCTGAGTCTGGCTGCTGCTACGTGTTTACTGGTTCTGGATTATAGTGATTTATGGTGCATGAATGCATCTGCACATTGTTTGTACATGTTAGACACTGCACATCACAGTGCTCTGAGATTCACCCTCACTCATCACTGTACGCTTTATTCCAGGGCTGGTCGGCCATCTTTGGCCTTTCGTAGGCTCAGTCTCTGGTATTTGTTCACCTATATTTGTACTTGGATTGAACAGAGATCTGACTGTAGCTACAGTCTGAGATCTCAGGATTTAGTTTTGTTGTCTGTTCCTGGTGCTCGGACTGAGCTGGGAAAGAAACCCAGGAATAATGAGACCTGGAATAACCTTCAGCAAGATTTGAAACTAGGTGAACTGGACTCTGCCTGATTTTAAAGCTCTCATAAGCACAAGGACAAATGAGTCAGCCGGTTCCTGTCATAGTGTGTAGGTGTTCTACATGTTACTGTAGATCTTTTATGTTTTTATTATGTTGTTGTTTGGCTGTAACTTTTTGCGTGCTGCTCTTGGCCAGGTCTGCCTTGTGAAAGAGATCGTCGACCTCAGCGGAACTGACCTGGATAAATATGGGTTAAATTCATAAATGAATTTCTAGAAATAATTTGCAGTGTAGGATATGTGTGCATACGTACTCCTCCATACAGAAGTTGTAGGCAGTGTTTGCTTTAAATCCCAGGATGGAGAAGATGGAAATGGAGCCATAGAGCGAGGTGGCACTGTTTATTATTCCTACGAGGAGAGCGTCCCTCTCACAGTTATTTCTGATGGAGACAGGAGAGACAAACAGCTCTGTAAGTCATCAGCCACATCATCACAGTTCTGGGAGGGAGTGAAGGACTTTTACCTCTCAGCGTTGTAGCTGGAGAAAGCTATGAGACCTCCAAACGCCAGAGACAGAGAGAAGAAGATCTGAGTGGCAGCGTCCAGCCACACCTGAGGGTTCTTCAGAATCTCCCACTGCAGCCAGCAGAAACACATCAGGTCATTGTGTCAGGAAATAACATCTCATATCAGCTGTAGCAGCAACAAACTCACATCAGGAGTGAAGAGGTACACCAGTCCGTCAGTAGCTCCGGGCAGAGTGAGGCCACGGATCAGGAAGATAGTCAGCACCAGGTAGGGAAATGTGGACGTCACATACACAGCCTGAAATATGCAAACACACCATACAGCCATCATTAACTCTGTCTGTCTGTCTGTCTGCAGCTCTGTCTGTCTGCAGCTCACTGTCACTGTCAGCAGTGATGTCTCCAGGTAAACGGACCTTTCCCATGGACTCGATGCCTTTGATGAAGCAGATGTAGACCACTAACCAGGCGCTGGCCAGACAGATGACCAGCCACCACTGCAGGGAGCCGCTGATCTCGATGTCTGGTGTGATGTTCAGGGTCTCACGGTACCAGAAGTAGTTCACTGGAGTGCTCTTCACACACTCGTCATTATAACCTGTATGGATGCAGACACAAGAGACAAACATGAGATCTATAAAACTCTACAGCGACCGAGACTTAAAGTTATTGGTGTTTATTTTGGGTGCGTCAACCTTTGTAACTGAGTTCAAGTTGCCTCCACTGGCTCCCTGTTGAGTTCAGGATCCAATTCAAAATTCTCATTCTCGAAGTCAGACTTTCTCTTATGTGGCTGAACTACTTTACTCATATTCTTCAGTTCACTCTGTTTGATCAAATAAATTTGTTGTCTGTCCCTCCACTCACCTTCAGACCTGTGGCGATCGAGCTTTTGCAGCCGTCGCACCTAAATGTTGGAAAGCTCTGCTTGCTTCCTGACGGTCTGCTGACTGTGTGGTTTCTTATGAAAGCCAGATAAAGACACACCTGTTTGAACTGATGTTTGGGTTAATTTGTATCAGAATCAGAATGCCTTTTATTGTCATCGTCCATCCATTTTCATCTGCTTATCCAGGGTCAGGTCGCGGGGGCAGCAGGCTGAGCAAAGCACCCAGACATCCCTCTCCTCAGCAACGCTTTCCAGCTCCTCCTGGAGGACCCCGAGGTGTTCCCAGACCAGATGAGATATATAATCCCTCCAGTGTGTTCTGGGTCTGCCCCTGGGCCTCCTACCAGTGGGACGTGCCCAGAACACCCCTAACAGGAGGCGCCCAGGAGGATCCTGATCAGATGTTGAACCACCTCAACATGAAGGAGCAGCAGCTCTACTCCGAGCTCCCTCCAGATGTCTGACTCCTCCCCCTATCTCTAAGGCTGAGCCCAGACACCCTACAGAGGAAACTCATCGTGTTGTAGCAGGGTTCAAATCACCGTCTGCTGAATGGTGTCGAGGTCAGGAGGATCTCTTTGAGCCATAAAACAATAAAAATCCAGTTTCCCTATTAAATCTGATCTGACATGCCACGACGAGCCTCAGAGTTAAAGGTCCTCTTGTATCTTACAGCTTGACTGTAACCATACTAATTGCTCAAACCAGAGTTGATTCAATTTTAGGCTCCTGTTAGTCAACACGTATTTAATTACTGTCACTGTGATGCATGTCTCAGGTGCAGACAGGACGACTGGTGGTTCTTATTACCTGTCAGGTTGTCATTCAGCGGACACTGGCTCCACGGCAGAGGGTTCTGGAAAGAGTGAAAGAAGTACCAGAGCACCCAGGCCAGGATGGTGTTGTAAAACAGGGCCACCAGGAATGACACTATCATGGAGGCGATGCCTACACACAGGAAATAAATGAAGAAGTTTTCAGCTCATGAAATAATGACGAATATGACAGATAATAAATGCCACTAATGATTCGCAGCCACCCACCGACTCCACCCAGCATTGGTGAGATGGCTTTCCAGACGCCGATGCTGCCCTTGCGGAGCCTCTGTCCTATGGCCAGCTCCAGGTAGAGCAGGGGGAGGCCCTGGAACACCAGCGCTATCAGGTAGGGGATGAGGAACGCACCTGGAGACATGAAGTTAATGTTAACCTCACAGTTAACACATTTTTATTATCAACAGACTCTGCAGAGATAATGTAAAATAAGTTTCATGATCATGACTGACTGTTTTTTTTATTACCTTTATCAAGCTGCAATAAGGCTGAATAAATGCACTGCAATACTCAACGACTTCTAGAAACCGAAATACATTTTGACACATGATCACAGGAATTTTATTGTGGTCTTATAGGTGGACAAAAAAGTGAGTGGAGTCAGACTAGAAAATAGCAGATAGGCAGGTGATAAGGTAATGAGAGCAAAAGACCAAATATGATTCACCCCCACGAACTTTAAACAAAGTCAAACAAGGTCACAGAACATATGACAGCTCACCTCTTCGTTAGTATTTTTGGCGTCTGACACCTGCTGGGTGGTGTCAGTTTGTAACAGGGCTGGATGGAACCTGACGGTGCACACTCACTACACTCAACCATTTCAACTAAACTCACATCCGCCCAGCACCGCTGATTGTTTGTAGCTACAGTTTGATTGGCTGTTTTGATGTGAGCACAGTTTGAATTTTCTAATTGTCACGCCCTCTTGTCGTGCTGACAGCTTGGTCTGGTGCATGCCTACTGTACACGACCAGAAAGTCACTCTGAATCATTGTGTATTGGAAGTAACTGATTGCTGCTGACGAGGTGGACCAAGCTGGCGGTGCAGTTTGAAACATCTGTTGCGGCGGAGTGAGGACATCACCTGTTTGAACAGCGTAGTGTCATAGAATGGTTCATATGATATTCTAAGAATTTGTACCCCACAAATGATGTTATATCTTTAACATACAGTTACTTAATTAATGTAAAGTTATGGAGCTTAGGTTTAGGAAATGAAACATGGTGAGGACGCACCTTAAAATGCCTCAAAGTTCACACAAAGTTCACACGGATCCGAACACGCAACTCCAGGGGAAAGGAATGTTTTTGTGACTGATCCACCACCCCAACCTGCCTCCTGACAAGACCAGGACTGCTTCCTTCTTTACTGCTGCCAATACATTGGTCACATGATCGCAGTCTTTCAAAATATGCTGGATATGTACGAATTTGTGCTTTTCACAGGAAAACATTAAAAAAACTTGTGAGAGCAGCCTGGTTAGAAACACTGCTGATAACAATGTATTATAGGAAGCTTTAGGCCCAATCCCTATTCCTATCTTAACCCTCAGTCTCAAAAATCTGCGCTCCCGCGAAGTGCTAGTGCTGTCCCGATTCTCAGAGTGTTGAGTTGAGGGCCAAGAATAAGGGCTGTCTGGCCCTCACTTTTAAGATTTTCCAGGACCACCCTTGGCAGTAAGTGCTATCCCAGAATCCTTTGCGTATGATCCGCCGAGCTCAGCCGAGTACAGACGATTCAGTCAATGCAAGATGGCGGCGACAAACATAAGGAAGCAGATCCTGCGTTCCAAATCGCATACTTCTACTATATACTTTTAGTATGTACTGCAGCTGCCCTTAAAAAGTATGTAGTGTAGTATGCAGTATGCATACTATTGGGACACACTACATCTGCTCCCTGAACTCCAACCCTCTTGCTCACTTCCGCCGCCGTCCGTAGCGCCACATTCGAATATTTTGTGTTGTTGTACTTCGGAGATGCAGCAAATCTCCTCTTGTCGAGCTCGCCAGAGTCGTGCATACCGTCGGAGGTGCCGGAGAGCTCTGTTGCTGTTATGTCGTCATGTATGTTGTTGTTTCTAATAAACAGTTCCAAGCCTATTATTAGTGACCTGTCTATTGAACTAGTCACCAGTAGGCACATTAACCCCCTTCACACACAGCTCTCTGTTGCTGGCAGATGGTTGTTGTTAAATATATTTACAGCTATGCAGCTGCTGGCACTATATTCTGTCTGCACGTGAGGCAGCCTTACATTCACATTACTTTTATTTGTAGTGTAACATACCTGCACATTCTTACTACATTACTTAATATGTGTTTGACTTTTACTATT